AAACATCTGCTCAGTTCCTCATTGTTCTTGGACTGATTAACATCTTGTTTGCCAGAGATGTACTGAACTCTCTGCAAGCCTTCCGTTACACCTTGTTTATCCCAATGTGAACTACTGAACTCTCTGCAAGTCATCTGTTACATTTGTTTCTCCCGATGCACTGAATAAAAGGTGTGGTAAACTGGGGGCTTTGTCTTTGGCACCCAGAGCAGCACTGATCAGACCCAAAGCTCAGCTTCTTCTCAGTCTCATTTTTCTACCTTTCCTGTAATTCGCCGTGTGCTGCCGTGGCTCGCAGGAGCCCAGGACTCACTGCAGAGGTTCTGGTAACGTCCCCTTCCCCTGTTCCCTACAGGGAAGGAAGGAAGGAGGGAGGGAGGGAGGGAGGGAGGGAAGGAAGTCCTGTTCCCTGAAGCAGAAAGGGTAGGGGACGTAGCTCAGGCGCTGAGTTTCAGTCGCACCACGGAAAGATGCTACAAACGCTGCCTTCCACCCACTGTCTTGATGACAACCAGCTCATCGCTGGCCTCAGCCAAACTGAAGGTTGATATCGAATGTGACTACTCCCCACCAGGGCTGTGACTCAGGTAAAGATTTCCCTACGGTGTGGCCATGCCTGTTTCTCAAAAGCCTGTTTCTGGGCTCCTGGGGGAAATCTCCTAGAGGGATGACATGGGTTGAATTTGCATGGCACCAACCAGGTCCCAACCAAAGTTGGATTTTTCTGTCAGAAACCACCCAGGGCTTCATTTGCATTGCTGAGTCACCTCCTGGTTTTGTGAGATCAGTGGACATTTCCTGTCCCCTTCTTTGCAAGGACCTGAGTCCCAGTTTTGCCAGCTGGACTTTGATTGTCAGTTCCTGTTGCTGTTCTCCCTGGGGCTGTCACCCCCGGGCCACCCTCCAGAGCACACACGCCACCCACGTGCCTGAGCGCAGTGTGGCTTTGAGCTGTCGTCTGCCATGCTAACAGGTTCTGAAGGTCAGTATGCTTCTCATAGTGCAATCTTTGACACATGAGCAGGGTCATTACATTTTGGTGGCATTAACAAGCCCAGAAAGGGCAGCGCCCTGAAACCCCAAGGTCCCACCAAGCCTGTGGCTGAGGGTCACTGCTGCTCCTGATCCTTCACCCAGGACACAAAAGCTACAGCTCCGTCCTCTCCCCAAAGCCACCATGCACAGGGAGGAGCAGCCCCATGGTGTGCGGCCCCAGGGTGGACCCCGGGCCTGGTTGACATGGCAGGGTGCCGTCCTCAGTTTCTCCAGCATCTGTGGCCTCATGCTCAGGGCACGCATCTGCTTTCCCACTTCTCAGAGGCTAACACGGAGGCCTGCAGGTGGACAGTGACACGCTTGCGGTCCAGCCATGGGGAGCTTTGGTGTGGGGGAGGCTGCAGGGCAAAAAAGCTCTGCACCCCTAAGCATAAACATGACACGACGCATAACCAGAGTGTGACTGTCCTCAGTGTGGTACTCACAGACATCCTGAGGGTGCTTCCAACACATCGGCAGCCTTTCTCACGTCAGGAGTGTGACAGTGGCCCTGCCACGGCACTCTGGAAGGTGTGGGGTTAGCGAGGTTCGTTCTGTAATTTTTTCTCACTTGCTCAGGTGTTCTATATTCAGGTATTTATCCTGTCTGAGGAGTATCTACCTGTGCCCGCCACTGTGAAAGACAGGAGGATTCAAGCTATGATCAAAAATACACTGAAGATTTACATTTTAAAATTTTATTACAGTAAAAGGAACATTAACCCCCTGAAAAATATACCCTCCTCACTCCCAACACACTCATCCCATGGTTCCTGCCCCTTTCTAAAGCAGTTCTGTAATCTCCTTTCTTGAGTGTCCTCAGGTGCACTGTCGCACTGTCGCAGCTGCCTCAATGTCTGGATTCGATTCAAAAAATTGCCCGTGCATGATCATTTTTTGATTTTACAGACGAGCAGAAGTTCCACGGTGCCAGATCTGGTGAATAAGGTGGAGGAGAACACGCAGTCATATTTTTAGGGCCTGCTTTTCCGCTGGGTGGCACCTGCCAGCAGCATTCTCTCTGTTTTTGATCACACGTCATAATGACACCCAGGGAAGAGGACTCCAGAGCTGCTTCAGACAGCGGTAAGAACGATGTGCATGAAGTGACGTGGAGGGTCCTAGGGGTCAGTGGCAAAGTGTCTTTTACTGTGATGTATTCTGAGTGTAAACCTTCATGGTATATTTTGATCACACCTCGTAGGTGGCTGATTATCCCTGATAGGACGTGGATGTGCTCTCGGTCTTTGTGAGTTCCCTGGTTTGATGGTCAACCCCAGCCCCAACGTCAGGGAAGAAGAAACACAGCAGAGTGTGCCGAGGTGTTGATCCTTGTCTCCAGGAGGGCAGCTCAGACATCAGTGAGATCCTGATGGTCCAGAGGGGTGAAGACGGAGCCCTGGGAGGAAAGAGCCACCTGGCAGGGACATGGCAGCCTGCACAGAGGACGAGCAGCGGGTTCTGTCCACTCCACGGCCACAGGGTGGAAGGGGCCTTTGGGGAGTTGGGGCTCCCAGGCAGGGCAGGGTGAGGAGGAGACCCCCGTGCTCCGGGTCCTTCCCCAGAACCAGGTGCAGAACCAGGCTGCGTGCTGTGAGCGGGCATCATACCTGCTCTCACCCTAGCAGAGCATTAGTTAACACAGGGCTCTAAACCACGTGCAGCTCCTCGGGCTCGAGTCAGAGTAGTTCTCACATGTGCGGCACTGCAGGTAGAGACTTCATGAAGACTTACGGGAAGTGTAAAACCTCACTTTAACTGTTAAATGAGAAAGTCTAAAGCCTGAGAATGGGTGGCAGGGGAGAATAGAGAAATGATTGATCTGCCAAGCGTCTGAGTCAACATCACATTAGAAGACAAAAACACCTGGCTGAAAAAGGCTGGTGGCAAGCAGACGAGGTCTGAGGAGCTCTGGGTCATGACAGGAGGTCGGAGAGCCCAGCACCATTGCACTGGATGGGTCTGCACAAGTCCCCAGCCCGGAAAGAAGAGTTTTTCTCAGTAGATTATAGGGGTTGATGCAAGAAAGGTTGCACATAAAATATACACAGGAGAAAAATCAAATACAGTGTGCAAACCACACATAAACATCTGGACAAATTTTTAAAAGCACAGAATCTCACAGAATCCACTACAGACATTTCCAAACAGGCATCACCTAGTGACGGACAAACTCTCCTTCGCCTCCAAGCAGTGAGTATTTTATCGATGTGCCTTCCACTCCAACACCTGTGTCCGTGTCCGTGCAAGTGTCTCCATCTGGAAATAACAAAGGCGTCAGTGGAGACTGCACGTCTCTAGCCTCACAGCCATGGTCCCTCAAGCTGTCCCCAGGCCTGGGCCAGAGGGAGATGCCGGCTCCACTCAGGCCAGGTGCCCTGGGATCCCCCCTCCTGCGTTGTACAGCACATCTGGACCCGGGAGCTGGGAGACAGGGCGCCAGTACAGCATCACCTTCTTTTCCCCAGTAAGAGTCCTAAGTGACGAATGTTCGAGTAGAACAAGAGGAAGTGTGACAGGGAGTGCCCAGTGCTCTCACCGGGGACGGCCTGCTTCAGGAGGCAGCGAAGACCCATGTCCTGGAGAATCAGTGTGGAGATGGAGAGAAGACACAGAGGAAGGAACGGGCGCTGATCACCGGCTCACCTTGGCAATGTAGCCAGCCGACGCACCCTCACCTGCAGAAGGGACAGTCGCTTGGGGACAGGAAGTGACTCAAAGTGACTCAGTCTCCCGGGACACCAAGGCCAGGGGCCTGTGGCAGGAGCTCCGGCACCTCACTGTTGATGCACCTCTTCCCCACAGAGCGCTGCCGCAGCTGGCCTCAGTCCTCCCATGGGCTCAGACTGCTCAGCCCACCGCATCTCATGTTGAACTTTTACTGCCACTGCCTTGATAGGGGACCCGAGGCAGCGAAGAGGCCACTGGGCCTGGGGCTCCGTCCTCCGGGGTGCGGTTGTTGTGCAGAAAGAGTGAGCACACCCAGGGTCACCCACTCCCTGGCGTCCACCCCTGAGACCCAACAGGAAGCCTTTGCCAGCTCAGCGTCGGCTTCCCAGGCTCCCAAACCAAACCGAGAGCCGGCAATCCCAGTGCAGGGCTCAGTCACAGCAGCTCAAGCGAACTGAGGCTCCAGACCTAAGGGCCATCAGAGCCCGTGGACATCAAGTTACTCTTTTGCTGCCACTGCCGCCTCGCCTGCCACATCCATCCCTGTTCTCCTCCTCCCTGTTGTCCTGAAGCACAGACCTGATCAACCCGTGACCTCCCCACCAGCCCCTTTCCTGCAGCCGAGGCCAGCTCCGGCCCCTCGGTCCTGTCCAGCCCGGCTGGGCCCTGGTGCTGCCCATCACCCACCGCCCCTTTGGCACCTGCAGTCTGCCTGGTGAGGGCTCCACTCCTCCTTCAAGGCCAAGCGCCTGGCTGCCCCACCAAGCCCCCTGGACCTGCTCCACTCTGGTACCTGCTCCACTCCTGTACCGCGTCCTCTGCCACAGAGCTTGTGTCGCATTTGTCCATCTCTGGCCCACAGCTGTTATGTTCTTGGAAAGAAAATCCCTTTCCCGCTCACCACTGTACACCCAGGGGACATAATAAGTGTTCAGCTAAAAAACACTTGTTGAAGAAATAAATGTGCCATTTAATGATACTAATTCCACCTTTTCTACCCCGAAGCAGTGAATTTGCATACAAATAATGGTCAAAATATGGGGTCTTGTGAGTAGGTAAAATAATTCACCAATCATATACTTTTATTATAAACTTGTTTTGTGTGATGCATACATGATTCTAGTCTCTCAATAACTGACAATCTAAAGTCAGTTTTAGACCCAAAAGCAGCATATACTGTCTTTGGAAGTAAAATGTACGATTCCGTACTAAATTCCCATTACATACTGGGGCACAGCTGGTCACAGTTCATTATTTCAATGAGGCCACGCGACTCCGGGAGTGATCACTCCAGAACTTACCAAATGGCATATTCAGTGTGGTGTCTGCTTCTGCAGTGTCAATGCGGGTGCTTAGAATATCACCAAAGAGTCGTGGTAGAAAATAGAAAATACCAGACAGGGGGAGCTGGTGTGGGGCACAGGGATGTATGGCCACCTGGACTATTTAATATGAGGTCACAGCGCTACCAAGCTCTGCAGCTAAATTCCTAGGGAGGCAAAGTTATTCCTGGGTGCACTCATTTTATAGCAATAAATACTGATGATCACAACACCTGCCCTCGCCCCAGCTGTGCAGTAAGGCAGATGGAGGATTCTGGTACCCATGAATCCCACAAATCAGCCAGTCTTTGTGCTGTACACATCAAGGGGGAAAGTAGCACCCCATGCCCAGCCTGACAGAGCCCATCCTCTCTGTCCCTGCCTCTCCTTCATGATGATCTAGTTGCTCCCAGTGCCAGCTGCTGGCTGGAGCATTACTCCTGTTTTCAGCTGGATATTTGTACTTGCAAATTAGCTAATGAAATATCAGGATGTGGTATTTGTACACATTAAAAATATTTTTTCATTCAATATATCCAAACCCTCCTCCTGAAGCATTTTCAGTTTTAGGCACCCTATAAAGTGGCTGCATTTTTTTAAAAAGAAAAGAAAAGAAACCTTTGTGGCCAAGAGGAAGTTAGAGGGGTAAAGAGGCCGCTGTGTGGGGCAACTCCATCCATCCCCCCACTGGACACATTTTGACGAGGAATAGGGGTAGGGAGAAGCCACTTCCAGTGGGATGCCTTGTTCCATGTGGCAGGGAGGAAAGCTAGGAGGGACTCTAGGCTGTCACCTCTGGAAGCCTGCTGGGGCTGGGTCCTCCCTGGAGCTCCGGGTTTGTCCTGTTTCAGCCCAGCACAAGTTCTCTGCAAGGGGCCTTTGCAGCTGGAGTTCTCGGATGCCCTCCTCTTGGCCTGATCCATTGCCATACAGGCCTAGTCTGCTTCAAAACGCCTCCTGATCAGCATGCGCCAACATGGAACGTGCGTTCGGATAGATCAGTTAAACAGCTTCGCTGTGGAGAAATCAGCTCCCAGGAGTCTCATTTTTCTGCCTTTCCTGGTTCGGGAGAAACACGCGCATATTTTTCTCCTTGTAAAAAAGGACTCCTCTATAATCATATGAAATGAGGCAGGTAAAATATTGCTCTGGAAAGCTGATGCAAACTTTCCTTTCAATTTCCATCCGGCTTGTAGTCATTGTCCACCAGACTCGGAACCACAGAGCTCGCCGGTCACCTGCCCTCTCTCTCCGAAGGCACAGGCCCCCAAAGTGACCTCAGAATAGAAGCGGTGAGCTGTAAAAGACTTCTATTTTCTAATTTATTACCCCAAACTAGCGCTAACACATTTTGAGGATGAAAATAAAACCCGATGCAGTGCCGGCCTTTAGCCCGCTGTCTGTCCTCTGCATCCACATCGGGTCTCGGAGCTGCCACATAGGAAGGAGCAGGGATGCAGTTCCTCCAGCTGAGGCCTCCTTCTGTTTCCATGCTAAACACATCTACTTTCTTCCCACCGGAGCTATGCTCACTCTTCCTGCTGTTGGGAAGGTGACCAGTCCCTCTGTCCCAGCTGGCCCTCGAGGGCCGGCGGTGAGTATGGCAGTCCCTGTCCACCAGCAGGGGCCAGGAGCTCCTCTCCCTCTGCAGTGGGCTCACTCACCTCCCATGAGTTCCTTTGCTGCTGTCAGGCTTCTTATCTGCAAGTGGGGTTCACCTGAGCAACTGTTGTGCACTGTGTAGGAGAACAGGGATGAAGTCCTCGCTTATCCACAGGGGATATATGCGAAGACCCCAGGAAATACCTGAAGCCAGAGATAGTGCCCAGCATGTGCATGTAACATGCTACACTCAGGATAAAGCTTAGTTTACCAATTAGGCCCAATAAGACAGTAACAACAATAAATAATAATAAAATAGAGTGGTTATGATAGCATACTGTAATATAAGTTATATGAATGTCCTCTCTCCCTCCCTCTGCCTCCCTCCCTTTCTCTCTCTCTCTCTCTCTCTCTCTCTCTCTCTCTCTCTCTCCAAGACAAACATCCATACTTTCAGACCCCAGCTCCCCAGGTGACCTCTGTACTCAGAGAGGACTGCCAGTCTGGTTTGCTAGATCAGTTAGAAAAATTCCTTTCCTGTAGGTTATGTTTCGGTGGAGATGTTAAGCACAGAATAGTTTAAAATGCTAAAAGATCTAAATTTGTAATGGATCAGATTCCCTCGAGGCAGCTTCCACCACTTCTGCCACTAGAGAGCTCCCACCTCTTGAGGTTTTAGATGACTCATTTTTATTATTGTCTTCTAGTTTGGGGAAGTGGCTTCTTTTTAGATATTTAATTCACATTTCCCCCAGTTCTGACTAACTTCCGTATGCCTGCAGGAAGAGTCTCCTGAGCAGGGCTGCGGTAAGACTGTTTCCCCAGTGACCTCACCTGCTGTGCCACACACTGAGCTCTCTCCTAGAAGAACCAGTTTCTAAGCGGGCCTCATATCTTCCTTTAACCTCACAACATCACATTCTCTGTTCTCCAAAAGCCTGTCTTCTGCCCTCCATGAGACTTGGCCTTACCCACCACACGGGGAACCCGGAAGCTGCCACATTCTACCATAGCTCAGGGCTCAGCCCGCCCTGCTATCCTGGGCCAAACCCCGCAGACTCCCCACTGGGGAGCATTTGGAGGAAAAGAAACCGCATCTGCACATGGACAGACTTGATTATTCCTCAACAATACAGCGCTCCCTCTTTCCTAGGCTTGGGAGGACAGTGCCATTCGGACCCCAGCATCATGACACCACCCTGGTGCCCCCATTGGGAGCAGAAGGAGGGGCCGTGGCACCCAGGAGTGTCCAGGAAGCTCACTCAGCACCGACATTCCCCAGCCACTGCGGCCTTTCTTCCACGCTGTGGGTTACTGGACCAGGAACCCCAGCTCCGACCCATTCTGTCTGCGCAGCAGAGCTGGATGACAGGTCACTGCCCAAGCCTTGCAGGACACTCGGGTTCACCTTTCTGTGAGGTCCTCATGCCCAGGGCCAGTCAGTCTCTCCATGGCACCCTCTGCTCACTAGACTGCTGTGTGGTGGCCACACATCATCTCAGGAGCGACACCTGCCACCCTTTCCGCCCTGAGCTCTCAATAGAACCGAGCCCCTCCAGCCTGCATAAGCTTCAGGCTGGGAGCAATGACACAGCCCCAGTCCCCTTCTGAAGAACCTGCTCAGTGGCAGAGGCCCCGAAGAGGACAGTTCCCTGCAGGATGGCTCAGACGCCACTGTGCCCTTCCCAGTCTACAGATCTGTGTCCCGCTCACTCTGAGCGCAAAAGGTGAGCCTGGGCCGAGAAGTGTGGCATCCCCCGAAGGCTGCGCCTCTGCCCTGGGAGGTTGGACAGTTATCAGAATGTCCCAAGGAAATGGGCAGAGTGCACTGAGATTCCAAGAAGGGAATCTCCCTCCTCCTCCGAGAGAAAAACCGCTGTTAATATTTCATTGAATCTATTTCCACTACACGTCCATGAATATTTTAAATAGTTGAGGTAGTATGGGTAAAA